GGGTGCATCCTTACCCCCATGCTACACCCATGCTAATAGATGCACACAAAAAGAATCCTAACAGCGAACAACTAAATTATATTCCAACAACCTTGCCAGAAAGTGATTAAGTTTGTTGTTGGCATATTTTTGCCTCTAAAATAGAGAAATTAAATTTAGATGCCCACACAATTGGCTCATGTACACCATTTAACCCATCCTTCAAGATGAGTAGGTGGGAAGGGGTTTGTGTCTTGACAGCTTCTGTAGTGGACAGACAAGATAGGCTTGCATCTGTTTACTGGTGGAATATGAAAAATAATTTTATTTCAAAGGATAAGATTGTTTACACAACATAACCTGCATGAGATGCTGATACCTTGATTGCTAAAGCTCTGTCCAAACTATCAAATTTTATTTGACAAAAACATGTGACATACCTAAATATGGTCATGATGACATCACATCATGACCATATATAGGCACGTCATGACTATATATGGCATACAATATAATTTTTTCTGGACAACTTAAGAACAAATACAGTAATAGCTTTTTTCATGTCAGTCACATCTTCATAATGAAATTATTTTTTCATTTTATATGTTGTTATTTATATCTTATTCAGATATAAATGAATGTGGTTCAAGTCCGTGCCAGAATGGCGCGCAGTGTACTGACCAGATTAACATGTTTGAGTGCAGTTGTACTAGTGGATGGAGGGGTGTCTATTGCAACATTGGTAATGCTTCTTATCTCTTCACTTATCTTGTTACCCTATATTAGATAATGGAGTAGTTCAAGATTGTTTAATACCCCCTACCGTATATAATCAAGTGAATGACCCGTACATCGATTCCAGGTTTTTAAGTCCAGGGGCTTACTGTGCCATACGACCGTCGCACAGCGAATCTAATGCCACTCACTGCAAGGAAATTCATCAGAAGGACGCTTACTCTGGACATCAAAGGTTATAACTCTGGCATCGACATTCTAGGCGCATGTGCATCCCTACACGCTGAACGTCACAAAAACCAAAGCAACCAGACCATAAACCGTCACCGTTACGTGACGATTTACCCACGCGTGTGTTAGTTGCCATGATAATCGCGCGTCGTGTGGTGATTACAAAGGATTAATGATATTTTGCACTAACATTAGACTGAAATATATTTTTCATTTCAACATTAATTTTACCAAAATTGTGGTGAATTGTCGTTCATAAGACTCACTTCGCAGTAAAAATTAATAAATGTTCTGTATATACTCAAATGTTCGTTTTCGGTACCTTATGCCAACATTGTCAAAATGACAGATTAATATTACATAAGAACATGAAATTTTATAAAATTCGTAAAATTTAAATTGCTATAACTTTTCATTTTCTTGGTCAATTTTCACAAATCAACTTGCAGTTTATAGAAGCATTTAACAAGCTCGGGGTAAAAAAAAATCAGATGTAACAGACATTACGAAGTACCCAAAATTAATAAAATAAAAACTTACACCATAAAACGAATGGCACGCATAGACTAATAATTGACGGCTGTACTCGCAACTAGTACCGGATTGTCAATGCCACAGTAAAGATCAAAGGACTGTACGCACGCGCTATGTTCGAGAGCGGAGATGTGCGTCCTTTTGTTGAATTACCTTGCTCCCTGTCAGTGCTAGACTATGGACGGATCAAAATTAGAAGTGTTACATTGCGTGTGCATTGTTGCATTGGCTGACTTCTGTCATGCTCAGTGAGTGCCAGGCATTAGTGTATGAACTAATTAGTGTGAACTTACCTCTCAAGCATAAAATAAATATACTTGAATCGCCCTAGGTTTATTAGCTATACTATTTGTTTTTTAAAAGAATAGCATAAATAAGTTGGATAAATTAAATTCTTTTTATTTTCTTTGACATTTATATATATATATTTTTTTACTTTCAGACGTAAATGAATGCATAAGCAATCCGTGTGCAAATGGAGCGGCGTGTAACAATCTTCAGAACCGATACACATGCACCTGCGCGGCAGGATTCTCAGGCACACAGTGCTTAGACGGTAATAGAGAGTGTCCTATGAAAACTAGAGTTTTTAGGGGTGCCAAGTGTCCTGGAGAGATCCAGGGCAAGGCTTTTGCGGTGTTCAGAGGGTGCAGTGGTCTCAATTACTTGCAAGTTACGGGAGTCTCCTGGAAATCGGGGCAGCCTCCAGCACTCTCACAAGCAAGCAGGAATCTCATGGAGAAAAACCCATCTCCAGCAAATTCATTGTATTTGCTTATTTTTACTATTCTATTACCCCTTCCTTATCAATTGTCTTATGAAAGTCAGTGCCGATGGTTATAATCATACACAGCAAAATAAAATGAGACGTGCTAATAACGCTTATTTTATCAGATTCCCAGTAAGTGACTTCTTCCGACTGGGCACCCCTTGGGTGTGAATCTTCTTTTATTATTATAAACTGTAAATGCTAAATTTCATCATCATTTTGGTGGAGTTTTTTTTTATGCATGGGGAAGGGTTGGTTTGGCTTATTAGTTGTTGTGTACTGTAATCAAACTTAAAACCAATTTTTAGCATAAAGTAACATGTGACATTTGTAACACAAATTTCAGATCTGGATGAATGTGCAAGTTTCCCGTGTCAGCATGGTGCCACCTGCATCAATGGTGCTAATCGCTACACCTGCTATTGTCCACCTGGTTGGCAAGGTGTCAACTGTGATATTGGTAAGTATGGAAGATGAATAAATAATTGTACACACTGTATATGCTTGCATAGAAGATGATCCCTGTTTAAGATGATCCCCCAGTTTGAGAAGATTTTTAGAAGAATTTATTACGTTGGGCATATAAGACGACCCACTGTTTTACTGTCAGAATTCCTACTTTTTACTGTTCGTTATGAATTGAGCTAAAGGTAGGGCTAATCATCCAAAGACTGTAAAACCTTTTAATGCTCAAATTATTATCAAAATCTTATTTCCCCACATTTAAAATTCATTTCAGTAGTAAATTTGCAAAGCAATGAACGATCTGCACCTAGGACGAATATGATTGAAATAAAAAATTTGTATGTGTTGCACATAAAAAAATGACCCCTTGTTTTTTGATCATTGTGTGCTATTTGAAGCCCTGTCTTATAGACGAGAATATATGTATTGAACTACTTTAAATTTCATTAAGTATAATACGTACTCCAAGTATTGTAATGCATGCCATCATGTTTTACGTTGCATTTCAATACTTGGGGTATGTATTATACTTTCTTATCCGAGATTAATGAGTGGACCTTTCAGTTAAAAATTTATATTATTATAACATTTCTTAAGACCGTTTTCATTGAATGTTATTTTTGCAGACATTGATGAGTGTGCCAGTAATCCATGCCAGAACAGTGCCGCTTGTAACAATGGTCAGAACCAGTACGGATGCACATGCCAAGCAGGATGGCAGGGAACTAACTGCGAAATAGGTAAGATTATACAGACAGCCATATGGAAGCCGTGCTTCCATATTTTTAAGGACATTAAATCCTGAGGCTGTGATAGATCTTTCCGCTATTAAGCCCTGACCCTTAAAATTGTTGCGAAAATTTGTGCAGAAATTTATTAGTTTGATCTTTATTTATCAACAGATATAAATGAGTGTACCAGTAATCCTTGCTTTAATGGTGCCATTTGCCAAAACTTGGAAAACAGCTATACCTGCGTATGCCAGGCTGGCTGGAATGGAACACATTGCGATGAAGGTATGATTATCATATATCTCGGTATCTATAATGAACAAACGCGCCAAAATCATATACATCATATATAGAGCAGGAAAAAATTAATAGTGAACTGAGTGTAAAAAATAAACGCAAATGAAAATGGTTTGAAAACTATGAATGTGGTAGAAAAACAAAAAATCAAAAGTTGTGTAAGTTTGGTTTTCTTAAAATTGTTACACAGTGTTTTCAGTGGAATGATTGTCTTGCGTATCACTTGCCAACGCAGTCGGAAAGGCTTCTTGATTCAACCGATCAATCAACATCACAGACAGCTCTCAGCTAAAGCTGAAGGGGCTGAAAAGCCAGTTTTAATAATGTACTATATTTCAGATCAGATGTTTAAGTACTTCGTCCTGTCTGCAATAGCAGTAAGATCCATGTGCATGTTATATACCTCAGTATAAACTTCCAGTTTACTGTCCAATTCACCACCAGTAGAACCACACTGGATAAAGTCTTTATTTATGTGGGAATTATTATCGTTTAATTCTCACCCAAAGAAATCCAATACGTATAAGCATCTACAAATAGCTCAATGTAAATACAACATTATAATATTACTTTCCTCATAAAAATTGTGTTTTTTTCCTCCTAAAATATCTAGACATCAACGAATGCAATAGTAATCCATGTCAAAATGGCGGTGTGTGCTATAATTTCCAGAATGCTTACACATGCTTTTGCACAAATGGGTATTCAGGCATTAATTGCCAAGTTAGTAAGTACAGGTTCTATTATAAATAAATTTCAGCTTTTTTTTTTCAAATACAAAAAGGATAATAATCATAATATATTATTTGTGGATCTTTTTGAATGAATGACACACCAGACTGGTGTTAGACTTGGAGCGGTGCCAAGTTTTTCTTCTTACTTGGAGCAGTGCCAAGTTTTTCTTCTTACTTGGAGCAGTGCCAAGTTTTCTTCCTCTTGGAGCAGTGCCAAGATTTTTTTTTTCCCACTACATCTTTGTTTAGAACATCAAGCCATTGTTTTTGCACTACTGTATTGCAATTTTTATAGATATATATTTTTTTCATTAGGCAATGTTATTGTTTAGTTCAGATTGATTGATGGCTGACATTTACTGAAAATTTTCACAGCAGTGTATTTTTTTGCATTGTATAATGTTATATTCTGATATACAATTTAAACAGTCTTTTATCCATTTTTTGAAACTTATTAGTTAATTATTTAATTAACTTATTTTACGTATTTCTTATTTTCCGGCAACTAGATAAGAGGATGTTTTTATTTCCTTTATTATTCATAATTCTTTTATTTAATTTCCAATTAGCTTAATTTTTATAAATCATGTTTTTTCAGATACAAATGAATGTAATAGTTTCCCTTGTCAGAATGGGGGTGAGTGTATTGATGACATAAATATGTACACTTGTGTATGCCGACCAGGATATGGAGGTACCACTTGCAGCATAGGTAAGTGTTATTTATTGTTTGCTTGTAATTTTAAGCAGAGTCCTTAAGCACTGCCATTAACAAGCAAGAATCTCTCTGTGGTGTATAATGTCTGCATGTTTACTATACTATATTATTAATTGTCTTCCTGATGTCAGCTGGTGATTGGTGTCATTTTACGCAGCAAAATACAATTAGATGCATTTGTAAAGACTGTTTTCCACTGGGCGAAGCGAAAATTGTGCATGCACATTCACATTTCTGTCAGAATTTTTTCGCTTCAGCGAAATTAGTAGATTGAACTGTTTCTATTTTGTGCAAAGCTATTTAGGGATTGGATGGAACACTAGTCACTAAGTGCAAGCTTAGTGGTCTAGTGGTTATGATACCAGGATAGTTATCTATACTGTAGATCATTGGTTCGATCCCCACCCAAATAATATGCAAATTTTTTTTCACAAGTATTTGGGAACGTACTGAATATTCAGTACGATAACATGCCAGGTAGGGAAAATATCGCTCCTATTAATTTATTATTAGTCTGATGATTTGATCATGGAGTTATAATCTGATGTTAATTTCTTTTTCAGCTATCAACGAATGTGAGAGTAACCCATGCATTAATGGCGGTACTTGTTCAAATCTGGTCAACCAATATGAATGCCTATGTCAGTCAGGCTGGACAGGGACCACATGCCAAACTGGTACGTGTATATAGTTACTGAATTTACAACACATCCTTCATGAGTACCTAATATCTAAAGGTGGATGTGAGAATATAACCCATCTTACAGCATCATTGTGCTGAATTGCATGGTTGTAGTCTGCGACTACTTATAGTAGCTTCTTCCGAAAGATGCAATGCACGTTGGATCTCCATTTTAAATTCTTATCCTAGAAGAATTAGTTCTACCAACCCTGGGCGATGAGCGGCTCAAACCAGCGCCAGTGTTAAAGCTATAGTTAAACAGCGCCCTTGCCTCACCGCTCGGCCACCTAACTCGTCTAAACAATATTCTTGTGAAATTAAACATTTGTAGAGCATCCTAATTGAAATGTTCTATTATCTACAATGGTTGGTTCTTTGATAAGAGTTTGACAATTAATTGTCAGTTTAAGTACATTATCTCACTCTTACATAACAATTGATAAGGGTGATATTAGGTGGTTATGCCTCTTTCCACCAAGGTTTGAAATATTCAAAATCTATATATCACTCATTAACTGTTCCTGGGTTTTTTGTCGAAAACCCTTTTGTGTCTTAGAGAAATCAGTTGTACAAAATATTTCTCCTCTGGAGCCTGGCTATTAAGTTTAAGGGGTAACTTTTTGACAATAATAAATAAATCCTAGAAACAAACCAGGAACCCTTGAAATGAAAGGTCAACACATTATACCACCCAGTCACAACTAACCGTCTACAACATATTTGATTTGTTTCTATTTCCTAGACATTATTTTTCAATATTTCAACATATTATTTCAGATATCGATGAATGTGCATCAAATCCTTGTGTTAATAACGGAACATGTATAAACAGCGCCAACCAGTATATTTGTGAGTGTCCACCTGGTTATCAGGGACAGAATTGTGATACAGGTAAGAAAATTATCTTTTTATACTTCAAAATATTGATTTTTTTTTGTACAGTGTTCTAGTTCTGGTGGGTAATGGCAACTCCAAAAATGTAAGAGTAAAACAGGAGGGGTAGAAATGGAGAAAGGTCCACCACCGCAGTTTAAGATGCGCAGGGTCAGTCATTAGCAGGCCTGGGCCTTACCGCCTCAGGCCACATTGGATCTTATAGGTAGGAAATTCACAATCACATTAGCATAGGCTCTGCGAAGAAAACCACATTTGGTAGTAGAATGTTGGAGCGTTTAAAATTACACCTCCAAGAAAGGAGGCGCATTTATTTGAAGTTGAAGCATAGTATTTATGTCTATTTTTTGAATAATTATTAGGATGAACCGACTAGTAGAAAGTTTTCTGTAGCAGAACTTACTTTTGAATTACAAATGGAATCGTCTGTCCTAGCGAAGTTTATGTAATGAATATCCATTCACCAATTCAACATCAAGGATGGACTGACTGTACCTCAGTGAATAGGCCATACTACATAAATATTGTTACTTATTTTTTATACTTCAGAACCAGATAAAACTGGATGAAACCGGATGAAACCAAATGAAATCAGTTTATCAATTATTACTTTGAACTTGTACATATTAGCATGAATCTATTTCTTTATTAGAAACTAATGAATGTGGCAGTAATCCTTGTCGGAATGGGGGTGAATGTACCGATAGTCTTGACTTCTACAGTTGTGTATGTATTGTGGGATACACTGGTTATAACTGTGAAACAGGTGAGCTGACTTTGCTTTATTTTCACTTACTAATTTAAATTTGTAAGAATTTGCAGTAATATTTTGAAACAAAAATGGGATGTTTTTGGAAAGCTCTTTAAGACTACTATGTACAACTACACAACATTTTATGGACAACTACCACTCCACTAATTATGTTGGTCCCATTCATTATTTTTTTGCATATAAAATCCTGCTAACAAAGAAACAGACAGACAGAAACACAACAGTGAATGTTAAAAATAAAAACTGATAAACATAATATAATAGAAGTATTACCATAATAGTATGCATCTTTTAAAATGTTTTTAAATTAGTCTATTTTGTGAATATTTCTCATTTTCATAGGCTGATGTATGTAATGTTTCTCTAGACTTAACTTAGATGAACCATTTTATTATATTATTAGATAAGCTCAACTAAGAGAAACTTTGCATATATTGGTTCATACATGTGTTCATTAATAGGCTATTAACATGACAGTTAATTTATGTATTTTACACAAAATTATATTTATTCATATTTTTAAAGCATATTTTATTCATTTATTTATTTTTTTAAATTTAATTTTTTCTTTTAACAAGCATGGTCTCTTGTCATCTCTGCGATAACATCAAAACTTCATCAAATATATATATAAAAGCATTACTTATTCAAAATATTTTTTAATAAATGTGAATGTATTTACCAGATATTAACGAATGTGCTAGTAGTCCGTGTCTCGGTACCGCCTCCTGCCTTAACCTTCTCAACAGCTACCGTTGCAACTGCCCGTCAGGATGGACTGGCACTAACTGCGACCAGGATGTTGATGAGTGCGCACTCGCCCCATGTCAGAATGGCGGCATATGCGCCAATGGTCAGAACCAGTACACCTGTAATTGTATTAATGGCTGGACTGGTACCAATTGTAATCAGGGTAAGTCTTTAGTTTTTATTTCTTGATTATATTTGGTGTCCAGCTTATCTTGTTAATAGTAATATTTATTTTTTATTATTTTATTTTCTTTACATCCAACAAAAAGTACACTTGTCACTTTATCAAGGATAGAGTGATGCTTTATAAGCCAAGTCTTTTTATGGGGAGGGAGTAGAATTGTTTTTGGTCGTGAAAAAGAGTTCTGCTGTGACAGGAATTGAACCCAGGACCCTGGGATTGTAAGGCAAGCATCATAACCACTAAAGCCATTCAACTCCACTCCACAATATGTTGACATATCTGTGCTTTTGGCAACAAGACACTAAAGCACTTGATGTTGTTACCTCTCTGAACCTTTTGACAATGCCGTACTCAATTCAGTGTAATTGTCATGATGTGTTTGAAGCATAATGCTGTACAGGCATTAGACCTGGCCAATCAATGAGCCGCAGATATGTAGGCTTGAGAAAAATGAGATGAATTTGGTAAGATGGATGTGCCATATGTCAGCCTGAAAGACAGAGAGACTTGACAACAACTCAGGTACAGACTTGATATACAGTCGGAGAGATTTTGTTAGTTCGGTCACATTGAAAGGATGGAGGAGGATTACTGAGTTAACAGGAGATGCATGGAGGTCAAAGGTAGAAGAAGTAGAGGCAGACTCCTGAAAACATGGGAAGAAGTCATCCATTGCGACCTTAGGGCAAAAGGTCAAGATTGGAAAATAGTCCAACCCATGATCAAAACGTATATATATGATGATATATGATAGTGTAATTCGTAGATTTTTTTCTTTTTAGTTTCCATTGATATTTACTATGAAAAATCTTAATGTTTGTTATTTTTTAGATATTAATGAATGCGCTAGCAATCCATGCTTTAATGGCGCCACCTGTGACAATGGCCGTGACTTCTACCGTTGCAATTGCCTACCGGGATTTCAAGGTGTACACTGTGAACTTGGTCAGTAACCAATAATTCAATAAATTATTATGCTTAACAGCTCCTGTATCAAATATAATGTGTTCCCATAAAACGAGGCAAAGAGGCAAAATATTAAATCATGTTTTTATATATAATCACATTCTATGTTAAATAGCTGTAGAGATAATTTCCCGTGGATTAAATAAGTGAACAGTACTGGATAAAGACAACTTGATTTCTTGCTTAAACAATGTATCAATTCATAGAAGTCTTATGAAGATAAGCATATCTGAGAGTGAGGTGGTCGAGATAACTATGGACACAATGTACTGTATACTGTACAAAAAAACATAAAATTGTGTAATTTAAAAATAAGGCTTAATGAATGTGTTTGTAACTGTTCTGTTAATTAAAAATGAAAACTGTAGAAAATATGAAAAGAAATAAAGGAAGAAAATTTGGAGCAACTTTAAATTGTGTACCAAAAGCCATATAACAATAATAATAGCTCTTTATTACATTTTCTGTGTTTGTAGTGAATTTTAGGCACTAATTGTCAGAGGTCAACATGCCCAAGCTGTCACGTTTCATAATTTGACACTGAATCAAGGCTGGAAAATAATTTGTTATTTAAACTTGATTTTGTTATTGCAGATGTCGATGAGTGTAACAGCCAACCGTGTCAAAATGGTGGAATATGTTTGAATGAACCAGGACAGTACACTTGTAATTGTCCCATTGGATGGGAGGGACCGTTTTGCACTGCAGGTAAAGTCATGTTAATAAAGATTAAAGACAATATAATTAAAGGTCAATATAATAGTCAATATAATACTACAAAACCATACATAACTACATGTAAACCTAGTATTAATAAATTATTGAGGTCTAATAAATGTGAAAGTAGGTTACTCCCAGAAATGTCTTGATACCCATTAGCCTTGCACAGAGAAGAATTGAAACCCTGAACTGAAGTTTGGGAAACCAAACCATATCCACTGCACCAAACCGTTTCCACAACTGATGACTAATACTCTATAAATAATATAAAAAAAAAAACAGTATACAGAATGATTTTTAATTAGTAAGACTTTAAATCAACATCAAGTCACTTAATCAGTGTATTAGTAATAATGTCTTCCAAATATTATATCCAGTGATTTCACCTAAGTACTCCATATATGTTGATAAGACTAGTAGGGAGTTATAAAATGTGCTTCGTTCTCATATATTATCTTTACCTTTACAAGACTTAACCCAGTACCATGCAATTAGAGGCAATGCTCTTAGCCATTAAGCCACAGCTTCACTTATTTTTGTCTGCAAGTAGATTCTTCTCACCAATTTTGTTATTCCCTAACAATTTTTTTATTTTTTGAAGACACCAACGAGTGTGCAAGCAATCCCTGCTTGAATGGTGGGTATTGTCGCGACTCCTTCACTCAATTTATTTGTGATTGTACTCCAGGTTTCTCCGGAACACGATGTGAATTAGGTAAGTTCAGTAGGTCACACGCATGTTGAGAGAAAAGAGTACGTAGTTTTTGATTTTTGTGACGTTGCGACACTAGAACAGAATCAATCATGTAAGACCGTCCCATCGGACGTTTTATATTCTCTGCATACGTAGATTTGGCCAAATTGAGTCCTAGAATCCGTGCGACAAGGAGAACTTTACGTTCTCGCATGCGCAGATGACTTTTAGTGACGTCATTACGTTCTACGTCCTACCGTCTTCGTGCAATCAAAAGCTCGGGTATTTCGGGGGAAAGATAGACTGCACAACTGTAGGTAAATACAAAATGGTCATGTGAAAAACACCTGAACATGATTGGTTTATTTTTTAACATGAAGTAAATTCAATTCAAGACTGCTTTTCACAAATACCATCTTACAATCTGTAATCTTTTTAATAAAATAAAAATAAAAAACCCTTTAATTGGAGACCGAACCTCGGGACAACCCCACCTTTTTAGGTTCCGGCGTGGTCTTGATCTGTAGGGTAATCACCCATGGGCTATTATTTTACAGTTAATTTTAATACAAGGTAAAAGTATACAAGCTTCAGGCCTCACCCTATATCAGTTTTTAATGTGTAGTCATAAAATTATGGAAATAATTTTGAATTTTTTGTAATAATAAAATAGACAAGGATTGTCTCAATATTAATGACAAAATAAAAATTGGTACATTTTTTATTTTTGCAAAAAAAGAGAAGAAAATATTATAAAAGAATGTTTTTTTTTTTTTTTGAATTGAGAATGTTGTATTTATGTTGAAGCCAGGTGGTTGAGGATCTCATGCTGACACAATAGTGATTAGGTTCGCTTTCAAAATCTTGTCCGACGACCAAGTGGAATGTATTTTGCCTTCTTGTCTTGACAATAAGAAAAGAATGAAGTATAAAGAAACAATTTTAATTGGTTGATATATTCGTGTCATTATTTTATTATAAAATTTTCCAGATTTGAATGAGTGCGAAAGTTCACCTTGCCAAAACAATGGTATCTGTCTAAATGGTGCAAATCGCTTCGACTGCCAGTGCCAGCCAGGTTTTGGGGGCGTATTTTGTGAATTTGGTAACGTATCTCCACATTTTATAAACTATTCTGCTGCCAGATACCTCTTTTTTTACAACTGGTAGTTATAATCTGTGTTAAATTCTAGAAACAATAGAAATATATAAGTATTTGCCTTATTAGTCAAATACGATTTTCGTTTGAGGGAACCATATTTTGAGTAACATCATTTATTAAATCACAATCTATTATAGCCAGCTTCATCATTTGTGGCAATGAAAAGACAAACCAGTCACTCGTAAAATCCTGTTTCAGAGATGATGGCCAAAACATGCTGAAATGTCAACATTTTTGAAATGTGATTTATTGCACTAAACTAACCTTTATAATATTTATATATCATGTTGAAACAACAATTTTTTTTACTATTTGATACTGTAGCTCTCATTTTACTCTTCAACGCTGTATTAATTACTAAAATATTGTTTTTTGCGACGAATGACTGGTTTGGCTTGTCATTTGCCTTATTTATGAGAGCCTGATGTGTAATGAAACCATAAAGATCTTTACGTCGCCATGGTCTGTGCCTCAATTATGTTGCTACTTGTACAGGGCTGGACTGCAAAGATAATATGTCCCATCTTCTTGAAAAGCTCTTGGATCTGTGTGCAATATGTTAGGACGTGTCTTAGAGGATTCTTCAGACTGGACTGAGACATTGTCATTTGTTGTACTGCTCATTTCACCACCAGAAGGACCCCATTGAAAATGATACTTTGGGCCTTTGTGGGATATACTTGGTGTTTCAACCCCCCTACACCCCATACCAATATTTCATACCAAGTGAAAACCTGTAGATAGAGCACTTAATAGAAGCAAGCAAGAACAAAGAAATGTTTTTAAATGGTTTTTGTAACAGATTGCTGTTCCCTGAAAATTGTTTCATTCAACTAATGTCTTCTTTTTTTATTGCCTTAGACCTTGATGAATGTGTACCCAATCCGTGTCGCAATGGTGGTATTTGCATGGACTATGTAGGCTCCTATACCTGTACATGTTCCGAGGGATTCTACGGAGCCAACTGTGACAATAGTAAGTAATATTCTAACTACAAAAAATGTAGCA